TCTCTCTCTCTCTCTCTCCCTCTCTCTCTCTCGCTTGTTTGACAGTGGCTTTCTTTCTGTATCCCTCTCTCTCACACACTCCTTCACACACACATACACTCGCTTTCTCTCTCTCACAAACACGCACATACACACATTCTCACACACACACATAACACACGCACACACACACATTCTCACGCATTCTCACACATAAACGACCATTTCGTCAAAATGGACATTTTGTTTTTTTTGAACGAAATTGAAACCGAATTTTTTGGCCGAAAACTCGTCAAAATTTGCTGTTCCATGCTGGACTCCCTGGCTGTACATGGATGGACCTAGCTTGAGACCAGGCACCTCCAGGCAGGACCCCGTCTGTACATGGACCTAGCTTGAGACCAGGCACCTCCAGGCAGGACTGCCTGGAGGTGCCTGGTCTCAAGCTAGGTCCATGTACAGCCAGGGGGTCCAGAATTTGTAAAACGCTGGACCCTCAGGAACAGCAAGGTGCCTGGTCTCAAGCTAGGTCCTTGTACAGCCAGGGGGTCCAGCGTTTGTAAAAACGCTGGACCTCAGGAACAGCAAATTTTGACGAGTTTTAGGCCAAAAAACTCGGTTTCAATTTCGTTAAAAAAATACAAAATGTCCATTTTGACTAAATTGCAGTTCATACAACATATACACACACACACACACACAATGCAGCTCGCGGGAGCACATACACTGCAGAATGATTATGTTTTCTGCGCGGGTTGCCTCGTCGCCCCGGAAATTGAAGTAATACCGACTGTTTAATGTTTCCCACTCAAGTATTCTTCTGATGAAACTTCCACGCAAGTGCCGAGGGGGAGAGGGGTATTCCTGGGATGAATAACGGATATCTCCCATGAAAGTAGGTTTTTTTTTTTGGCGACCAAAAAGCTATTTTTGCCATGAAAGCTCGTTGTGTCGTGAACTGCAAACCCTATGTGCAGTTTCAGACAGCTGACGAAGTCGATTTCGTGAAGAAAAAGGCATACGCGTTCCCAGCCCACGTGGCTGAATGGTAAGGATTCCGAAAAACAATACAGTTACGTATCGCCCTTATGATGTTTATTTTTCTATTTTTTACTTAATGTTTCTTTTTTTTTTTTGGGAAATGTTTCTTTTTTTATAAAGAAATGATTGTTGTAATGACACACAAAAAAAAAAAAAAAAAAGCCCAGGTTGTTGTAATGACAATAATAATAAAAAAAAAGGCCTGAAAGGCCAGGTATAATAGGTTGGGCTTAAAAAGAAAAAAAGAAAAAAAAAGATGTGGGATTCTGTCCTTCGGGACATCCTTCAAAATTGGAACGATGCAGAGAAGATTAGCATGGCTCCTGCGCAAGGACGACACGCATAAATCGAGAAAAAAAAAGAAAAAAAAAGAAAAAAAAAGAAAAAAAGGAAAAAGGTTGTGGGATTCTAGACAGATGTGACAGTTACCCACAGTGATCGGCCATTTGGTTGTCCGGATGAACCCCTCTGAAGACCCCACTCGCCCTTCCTCTCATCTTTTTGCCTTGGCGCACCCCCGCCCACCCTAGTGTTAACCACCCAGGACCATCACCCATCACCATCTGGGTGGGGTGACCTGACCGGACAGCCGTTGCGGGCACCCCGGGCTAAGCAGAGACCCCTACCTACCCCTTGCTCAGCCACCGTTGAAGCAGACGCCGTGCAAAGCCAATTGCACGGGAGTCAGGTATGATGACGGAGGCCATACTCTTGCACGGCAAACGTTTGGCCGAGTGGAAAACGTGTATCTGACGATGAGTAGGTCATGAGTTGGAGACTGACCCTGGGAAGCTCGTTGTGAAGGTATATTTGCCAGCAGAGGAGTAAAAGACGTTTTTTTTTTTGTTTTGTTTTGTTTGTTTTGTTTGTTTTGTTTTTTCCTAACTCAACTGCGTGCCCTGTTTGTTTGTTTGTTCCCAAGAAAAAAAAAGAAAAAAAAAAAGGAAAAAATTGTTTGTTTGTTTGTTTGTTTTTTTCCTTCTTTTTGTTTTAAAAAAGGCCAGGTTGTTTTAGAGGCTTGATTGTAGACGTATGAGAGTCACCTTTGGCACTTGGGGATGTGGCTGAGGCTCCCTATTCCTATGGGACCCCCTCCCCACTTCCCACTCTCGTATTTCTGCCGGGAGCACCCCTACTCCCAGTATCCTACCTCAGTGTCTTCCACTCAGGATGTGAGTCTGGGGGTGACCTTGACCGGACAGTACCAGGGCTAAGCTTAGCCCCACTCACCCCACTCAGCTCTGATCGAAGCATAGTCGAACGAGCCTGTCGCCCGGGTACTTCTGGCCCTCTGCGCTATTCCCCCCCCTTTAGGCAATCTGCTTTCAGTGGAGTTGAACTCCTGTCTGTGTTTCATCAGTTTACCCACCAGTACTTGGCCAAGCTATCCATGCGGAGCCTGCAAACGGGCTGGGCGCCTTTTCACGCCAACCGGCCAGCGCAACAAAAAAGAAATGGTTTTGGCTGGAGGCGCCAGGCTTTGAGGGCTGGTACCCCGAGCCTTCTGAAGTTGGGGGGCGTTAAAGGCAACATCCCACGGCTGATGTATGGGCCAAGTACTTGTCGTTTAAGGGGCCCACCAACTGAGCTAGGCCAGTTGGTGAGATATGGGCCAAGTACTGGTCGTTTAAGGGGCCCACCAACTGAGCTAGGCCAGTTGGTGAGTCTGTGTCTTGTAGCCAGCCATAGGGGGATGCTAACCCGTGACCTAGTAAATGAAAAGGTAACACGTGTCCCACAAAAAAAAAAAAAAAAAAAAAAAGAAAGTTAACACGTGTGCCTTTCAGTCATGTGGGATGTGTACTTGTATCGCTTTTAACCTGTACCATTCAGCCGCGTGGCAATGGTTGCGAAAGTCTAGAAGATTCTTTGGAGGGAATTAAATTGGGGGTCTGTTTCAAAAAAAAAAAAAAAAAAAAAAAAAAAATGGCAACCAAAGAGCCCAGCACAGTTGGCACAAGATGAACTGTTGAAGTGTGAAGTTTCAGAGGCTCCACTGCCCGAAATGGAGGAATTTCTCTTTCGG